CCAGAAATTCACCCGAATTTTATTGACGATGTAAAGAAGCTCGAGGGATCCGAGGCTTTATCCGTTCAAGTAAGCTCGTGGGGAGGTTCGAGTAGCGTGAAGGATGAGAAGAGTGAGGTATCGACGGTGACTACTGTGGAGACTAATTCGGGCGGCGAATTGGGCGTTTCGGAGGCGGAATCCGGCCATTCTTCTTCAAACCTACTTATGTTAATTGTAGGATTGCTAATCAAGGCAATTGGGGTTCAACTTAGCTTCTTCGTCTACAGTTTCTGCTTTCCCTTGTGGTTTTTATATCATTCTTACACGTTTGTTTTCCATCCTTTTCAAACAATTAAGCTTGGGAGAGCATATGTGACAGGAAAGTTATTTGGGTTTTGTGAACTTGTTACTGCTGTGGTCAGTCCTTTGATATCTGAACGGTTGAAGGAACCCAAGTCTCTTTGGAAGGCTGGACTCCGCTGTGTGTGGGGCTTTCTGTGGTCGGCTTATGTTTGTATCATTTTGTGTGGTCTCTTGATTTCGGCGCTTATATTTGGTGGATTTTTAATGAGGTTCTTAGTTCAGGAGCCTGTTAAGATCAAAGAAGTATTAAATTTTGACTACACCAAACACAGTCCTGAGGCTTATATGCCAATCTTACCTGATTCAGATGTTCTTTATGGTCGGAATTGTAAAGAAAATGTCGTTAGTGGGAAGATCCAGTCGCGTGTTATTCCTCATCATCATCATTTGCAGGCCATTGTCTCACTAACATTGCCAGAGTCTGAATATAACAGAAATCTTGGGGTCTTCCAGGTATGTCTTTATGCATTTTGTTAAAGGAATATGCCTTTTCCAATTATGACAAGTAACGTAATTTTCAGATACTTTTCTTTTTTGGTATGTTAAGTGTCGATCTTCATTGAAGTCGACTTGATATTATCTTAAACATTGCTCCAATGGATAAGATTGTGAATCATAATCCAATTCCTTTTTACCCTACCTTAACCACTGAGCGATGGAATTTGCAGTAGAAACCACTATGAAAGTGTGCTTCTGAGATGATTGTCAAAGGCTTCAATGATTAATTTGGTTGGATAGAGGATGATATGGGAATAGTAGCATAGTATTCGAGACATAGGAGCTGCTAAGAACTTGATTTATACATCTATGTTGTTTAGTCGTTTGCATTGGTTCTCTTGTGCATAACTGTTCCATGAATTATGAATAAAAGTAAACAAGAAAAGGCCACGGTAAAATAAGTTCAACAATGTGGACACCCTGCAATACAAATAAAGCTAATATAGTAATGGTTTCAGTTGTCTAAAACACAACCAAATATTAATGAAAAACTCCCTGGGGAACGTCAAAGAGTTTGCCAACTATGTGCGTACGTGATGAAGGTGGGTCGGTGAAGCCTTTTAGAATCTTGCTTAGATCAGACAAGTTCACAAGAACGTCTATATATTATTAAATTCAGTAATTGTTTGGTTTTGATTTGCCTGAAAATTCTATTTTAGTTATCAGTATCATCAATGGATGTGTATACTCTCTCTTAAGTGTGTTTGGGTAATGTTTATTATGTGATTCCTTGTGAGATATTTGATGGTCATGCTGCAGGTAAGAGTAGACTTTCTTTCTGTAAGTGGTGACGTTCTTGCAAGCTCAAGCCATCCATGCATGTTGCAGTTTAGAAGCGAGCCCATTCGCCTTTTACTGACTATCCTGAAGCTTGCACCCCTTGTTACGGGCTATATATCAGAGTCCCAGACTCTGAATCTTAAGCTTAAAGGTCTCGCTGAAGGAAATATACCGACAGCTTGTCTGCGGGTTACAATTGAACAGCGAGCAGAGTTCAGTCCTGGTGCTGGTATACCCGAAATATATGATGCATCCTTAATCCTTGAATCCGAACTTCCCCTGTTTAAAAGGATTATATGGTATTGGAGGAAGACTCTCTATGTATGGATTAGCATGACATCGTTTATGATGCAGTTGCTTTTTATGCTGGTTTGTTGTCGACCGATAATCCTTCCTAGAATGAGGATGAGGAGAAGGGATGGATCTGCGAATGTAAGCTCCACGAGGAACGACATCTAGGCATGAGGTTAGATAAGAACAGGCTCCCCTGGATATCTAATCGAAGTGTTGAATCAATAAGAATTTTGTTGCTGATATATAAAACCCAACAATTCCAATATCATTGGTTGCTCCAATACCGAATACTACATATTTAGTATGACCAATTCTTTTATTTGTTAGTTTTTTTACGTTGACTTGTATGTTCTTGGTTTGAATTTGAAGTCGATGGGGATGATGATAAGAGAGCAGATCATATTTATGACTATACAGTTCTAGAAGCCATTTCAACTCGGCACGAACGACTCGAAGGGCAATTTCTTGTGGTAACCTACATTAGAGTGAAGTTCTATGCACTGTTAACCGGGATTTTCATTGTGTGTATGATCTCACCAGGGCTACACAATTGGGGCGAAAAGAACGTTCATGTGGAGGATTCAAAACCTCGGAACTTTTATTTGTCATCATCAGAACTTGAAGCTGTGTAACGTGTGCATTGATGAACAGAGTTCATGTGAACTTCTGCGCAACCATCGAAGTTTGAACTTTTTCTAATTTAGATGTGGGATTCTTAGTTTGGTTCATATTCCAACGCGAATCTAGTTCATGTGACATCAAATACTTGTTCATTTCCATATCTTTTGATAATACAGAAGTAGAAATGTTTGGTAACTGGAAGCTCATCTATAGTAAAGTTTAAAGTACAAGAAAGAAAAGAAAAAAAGAGTCCTTTTGATATAACCCTTCGGTGTCTCAAAAGTTTTCATGGGGTGACATGACGACTTTTGAGGAACGAGGCACTTCGAGCGATCTCTCGTAGAGGTTTGTCTGTGAACCTGATGGTATTATACACTAACGCACCTGATATTGCTCCTAGAATAGGTGCTGTCATGTAAATCCATAATCCTTTGAATTGTGCAAACACTAATGCAGGCCCCAAGCTTCTGGCTGGATTCATGGATGCTCCTGTAATTGGCCTGAACAAGATGGGATACTAGATTCGTCAAGTACTCATAAAGCTTTTTACTTAAAATTACATCAACATTCAGCTTAATACCCTGCAACCATCACGTTCAGCAGCACGGTAGCACCAACAGCGAGTCCAGCAAGTTCACCAATCTGTAAGATAAAGGAAGGTTAGATTCCTTGTCCTTTCGACTCAGTTCAACATAGAAAGTTTGAGGAGAAAAATAGGAACTAACGGCTCTATTGTCAGTGGCAACACCAGAAACCACAAACATGAGGTAGAATGTGATTATGAATTCAATGACAAAGGTCTGCATGTATGAGTCGCTTGGGAGAGTTCCTGGAAAGTGGTCTTGTTTTCCATTAAAAATTAGCCTGAGTGTCCAACTTGCTAATGTTGATCCAAGAACTTGAGCCGCCAGATATGAAGGCACCTGCAGCAAATTTGAATTGGGTTGCCATCAGAATGGAATAAGCAGCACTGAAAAAGCTTAATGAGCTGCAGAGAGAGAGAGGTAGATTACCTCACTCCATGGAAATCTTCTGGTAATGGCAAAGGATATGGTGACAGCAGGGTTAAAATGAGCACCGGAAATGTGGCCAACGGAATAGATCATCACCATTACAACCAAACCCCAAACAATTGAAATCCCTGGGAAAGTGATGACTCCATCTTTGCTCAAATTCACAACCACTGATGCTTCGCCTGCAAATATCACGAAATATGTCCCCATAACCTCTGCAATCAACTGTTTCCACCAAACAAGACAAAACAAAATCAATGATTCTATATCAAATCCCAAAGCTTGAAAATGGGTTTTTTCAGACAAGAACAAAGAGAGCCAGAGACCTTCTGAATGAAAAGTACAGAGACACAATCGGATGCCGAATCATCTTCGACACTCATAGAAAGACTGTGGCGTTCATTGTTGGAAGCTGAACTCTCTGCCATGATTGATTTGGTTGAAGCTTTGAAATTGGATTGATTGGTTTGAAGAAGAATGCTGTTTTTATAGCAAATGTTTTAAAACTGGATAAAACCATAAGATCCTGTTTTTAAGATGTTGTTGAAATGTGTTCTAACAGCTGGGTTTGGTAAGAAACGATGCTGGATTGAAGAGAAAAGACTGAACAGTCTGGCATTCTCTGTTTAAAACCTCAAACTTCATCCATAGATATACTCAAAAGGTTAAACGTTTTATCCTTAAAATAGCAGAGAATGATCGTCTCCATCGACCTAGCACCAATATCTCTGTATTCATACGTTTAATATAGGTTTAATATTGATTGATGAAATTCGAAAGTTAGGTAGCAGACATTTTTTTCTTTTCCGCACCTTTATAAAAACATGTTACGTTTTCGTTCCTAACAGACATGAGATCTCACAATCCACTCACAATTCACCTTTTCTAAGGCCCAAGTTTTTAAAACGTGTCTACTAGTGAGAAAGACTTCCACACCCTTATAAGAAATATTTCGTTCTTCTTCCCACTGATATGGAATCTCACAATCCACTCACAATTCACCGGCCCAACGTCCTCGCTGACACACCACCCTGTATCTGGCTCTGACACCATTTGTTTCCACCAAAGCCTAAGTTAGTAGATATTGTCCTTTTTGGACTTTTTCTTTCAGGTTTTCCATCAAGGTTTCTAAAACGTCTCTAATAGGAAGAGGTTTCCACACCCTTATAAAAAATACTTAATTCTCATCCCAACCGATGTGGGATCTCACATAAAATAATATTGGTTATACCAAAAAAAAAAAAAACGTTCACATATCTATGAAACACAAACGTAGAACCTATTCTTCGCCTTACTAGGTGTGAGCATGAAAAAGAGTTCGACATATCGATTAAGAGGCATAGGTACTCCCCTTCCAAGAAACTTGTGAATTGACAAACAGGATTCATGTGAACTTCCCGTCAGCCATCAAAGTTTGACCTTATCCTTATCCATATGTGGGATTCTTAGTTTAGCTCATTGAAAAAGTTGTCTGATTTCCATGTCTTTGGATAATGTAAAACAAAAACAAAACATACAACTTTCTCCCTGCGCTCTAATCCATCTGCATAAACTTTGAAATACAATGAACACTAAAAAGAGAACCCTTTTGTTAGCCTACAGAAGTCTTCCATTTTGTAGAAGTGAGAAAAGTAAGAGCTCCTCAATGCGAGCCACTACGACTTTGTCCTCTGAGAAAAGAAGCACTTTTGGTGATCTCTCGTAAAGGTTTGTCTGTGAACCTGATGGTGTTGTAGACCAAAGCACCTGAAATTGCCCCCAAAATGGGAGCCACGATGTATATCCACAACCCTTTGAACTGCCTTGACACTATTGCAGGCCCCAAGCTTCTGGCTGGGTTCATGGACGCTCCTGTAATTGGCCTGAAAAACAAAGATGTTGAAATTTTCAAGCTTAAAGAAGGTCTCTTGATGATATCCCCAAATGGGTTTCTTATAGTTTAATGTTTTCAGTATGAAAATTCTCTGAAGATGTTGAAATTGAATACCCTGCAAACATGACGTTGAGAAGCACCGTGGCGCCGACGGCAAGTCCAGCAAGTTCACCAATCTAGAAAATCATCCAACAAACAGAGACGCGTTGAATGAACCAAATTCAAGTGCAATTTAGAGGTAGGAATTAGAGTAAATCATGAAGAAGAAGATGAACTAACGGCTCTATTGTCAGTGGCAACGCCAGAGACCACAAACATAAGGTAAAATGTGATGATGAATTCAATGACAAAGGTCTGCAAATATGAGTCACTTGGGAGAGTCCCTGAAAAGTGGTCTTCTTCTCCATTAAAGATTAGCCTAAGTGTCCCACTTGCCAATGTTGATCCAAGAATTTGAGCTATCACATAAGCTGGCACCTGCAACAATTTTTAATTGCCTTGGAATCAGAATCAAATCAGCACACCCTCTTTGAATTACTTGATCAAAATCAATAATTAGTGAGAATTTTCAAGAATCTCCCAACCTAAACAGCTTGGAATTCTCACCAAAAATGACAAAGCCTTTGACTTTTCTTGTTTTTCAGATGATTTGGATCGTGGGGTTCAACAATTTTACCAAACTAAGCCGTGTTCAAGGAGAAAAGCAAAAAAAATGGATATTAGCAGAGCGGTTGACTGACCTGTTTCCATGTAAATCTCTTGGTGGTGGCAAAGGCTATGGTGACAGCAGGGTTAAAATGAGCACCAGAGATGTGGCCGACAGAATAGACCATCACCATTACAACCAAACCCCAAACAATTGAAATCCCTGGGAAAGTGACGACTTTGTCTTTGCTCAAATTCACAACCACTGATGCTCCACCAGCAAATATCAAGAAATATGTCCCTAAAACTTCGGCGATCAACTATTTCAACACCCGAAACACAAAAATCAGCCATTCAATCATAAACAGAACATGAATTGTAACACATGATTTGAAGATTTGGAGAGAAAGGGAAGACCTTTTGAATGAAAGGAACAGAGATACAGTCGAGTGGTTGTGTGGCAGTGAGGGGTGTGGGTTCATCTTTGATGTTCAGAGGAACACTGTGGTGGCCATTGCTGGGTCCTGAAATCTCAGCCATGATTGATTGCAGGAAGAAGCAAGCAGAGACGTGGGTGACAAAGAGGGAAAATTGTTGAGATTGCTTGCAGAATTGAGGCAAAACCCAGATGATGAGATGGAATTTATAAAACCCCAAAAGGCTGAAATGGGAAAAGAGAGAGAGAATTGACCAATTTACGTTTGTTGTCTAATGGGTACTTTAATATAACTTTGCAATCAGTTTGACATTGGAGACATCGTTGAAAATGGTGATGTAAGAAGATGAGGAGAGAGAGAGAGGAATTTGAAAGCCATAATTGAACGCTGCTTCAACTGCCCGCCGGATTTACAGAGAGAGATATGAATTCACCATATTTCCCACCGCAGTTCCGGACACAAAAATTAGTATAATTACTTTCCAATTCCTTTTGGGTTTTCAACTCTCAATGGGTCACTTTGGATGTTATGTTCAGTTGGGGTGCCCCAGAGCTAAACCATAGCACGTCCGCGCTTCTAATGGACAATGCTCATAGCTTCTTGATATCTCGCCTCGGTTAAGAAAGAGGGTGAAACATTCTTTATAAAGTCCGAAAAATCTCTATTGACCCTAGGCGTAGACGCTTAGAAGAAGCTTATAACTTCCTCCCTCAAGTTTCTCAAATTCAATAGAGGCTAGTGATAGATTTAACATCAATTTCCAGCTTGAGCAGCTTCTTGTATTCCTTTTTAGTCTTCGGATCTTATATATATATATTGCTTTTCATATTAGTTTTCACGTCTCAATTCACATCTTCGTGCACGGTGAGTGTAATGACTCTAATTTTCTACTAACTTAAAATCGCTACCATATGTATGACATAACTTTTTGGGTGGAAATATTCATTTAAAACTTCATAAATTAATGTCGTGAACTTATATGTTTAAGAAAATGTTTTAAAACAGTGCAAAAGAAAATAGTAAAAATAAACATAAGCCTATGACATTGTTTTATGAAGTTGCCATAAATAAATATTTTTACATAAGAAGTTACGTTAAGCATATAATAACGACTTTAGGTTAAGTAGAAAATTAGAGTCGTTACAATTGGTAGCAAGCTCTAAGTTATAGATTCTGTAACTTAGCCTCTATGAGGTAAGTTTGACATGCTTCATGGTTCTACCGCTAATAGCTCATCACCGTCAGATATGGCTTATGAAAGATAATAAGTAATGTTTTGTTATATTATAATTTACCCGGATGGAATATGAATGTTGAGATCCAAAATTTAAAGATAAAAAAATAATTAAAAAGATTTGGTTGTATGGTAATTAAGGTAGTTTTGCAGAAACGGTCATAATTTTTGTTTTAAGGGATAAAAAAAGAAAAAAAAAAAAAAAAAAAAAAAAAGAAACCCAATTTAAAATTAAAACAAAAAAAAGAAAAAGGAAATGCAGTCTCCTGTCTACTTTCGTTTATTCAGTTCTTTTCTAGCTACGGTTCCGAACCTAACCAGTCGACCGTTAGACCGAAGCTAACGCTCATTTTTCAATTTGATTCCATTTCATAATCCATTTTACCCCCCACTCTCCTCCTCCAACAATCTACTTTCAACAACAATGATATCCAAGGTCATCAAAAGATCTCCCTCCAAGACCTTACACCGCCGCCGCCGCCGCAAGTCCCCCATCAAGAATGCCGTCGCCACCGTCCACCGCTCTCTCTACACCTGCCACCGCCGTCTTCTCAAAATCTTCTCCAAGTTAGCCCGTATCAGCACTCCCAACCGCCACAAAGGCTACAAGGCCTTGAGGAAAACTGCATCCACCGAACCCGACATTGTACGAACCCTAATCTTCGAGTACCGCCTCCTTCCACCTCTCATCTCGCCGGCCAAGCGGACGGTTCTACTCGACCTCGACGAGACTCTGGTTCACTCCAAACTCGATCCGCCACCGGAGAGATTCGATTTCGTAGTCAGACCGAGGATCGACGGCGAAATACTCAACTTCTACGTCCTCAAACGTCCCGGCGTCGACCAATTTCTTGAAGCCCTAGCCGATAGATTCGAAATCGTAGTTTTTACCGCCGGATTGAAGGAATACGCGTCGCTTGTGGTGAATCATTTGGACAAGAAATCGGTGATTTCGCACAGATTGTATCGCGATTCTTGCAAGGAGGTGGAAGGGAAATACGTGAAGGATTTGTCTGAGATTGGGCGGGATTTGAGAAGAGTAGTGATTGTGGATGATAATCCAAATGCTTACGCTTTTCAGCCGGAAAATGCGATTCCGATTGCGTCGTTCATTGACGATCCGGCGGACAAGGAGCTTGAGAAATTGGTAAAGTTCTTTGATGTTTGTGATTGTTATGATGATATGAGGGATGCTGTGAAGTACTATTTGAGTAGAGAACAAATCTGAAAATTCAAATTCTAATTTAGAAGTTTGTTTGTTGATTGAAATGATTATTACTTGTAGGTTGAACAATGGCTATTGTTCAATTCCAAATTAGTGGCGTCTTCAATTTTATTATTAGCTCCTTAATTTCCTGTTTTCTTATTCTTAATTGATAATTAATGTCAATCCCTCCCCTCTTTTTTTCCCCCTAAATTTCTAGGTACTAATTTATTCTATATTTAATTTGAAAATTAAATGAAATATATATATTATTAACCAAATTCTAGATATGGACTTACCTAAGTTGGATGATGAAAGTCTCACATCGGCTAATTTAGGAATGATCGTGGTGGGTTTATAAACAAAGAAAATTCTCTCCATTGGTACAAGACCTTTTGGAAAGCCTAAAGCAAAGTCAGGAGAGCTTCCGCTCAAAGTGGACAATATCATATCATTGTGGAGAGTGGTTGATTCCTAACATGGTATCAGAGCCATGCTCTAAATTTAGTCGTGCGAATAGATTGGTAAATCTTCAACTATCGAACAAAGGACTCTCCAAAAGGAAAAAGGAGTTAAGCCTCCCTCGATTAAGGGGAGACGTGCTTTGTTCGAGGGGAGGTGTTGGATGATGAAAGTCCCACATCCCCTAATTTAGGGAACGATAGTGGGTTTATAAACAAAGAATACTCTCTCTCTCTCGGTAGGATGCCTTTTGGGAAGCCCAAAGCAAAGCCAGGAGAACTTATGCTCAAAGTAGATAATATCATACTATGGAGAGTCGTTTAGGAGAATATGATAGATAGATAAATAAATATTTGTTTAAAAGAATGGGGAAGATTCAATGAAAGAAATAATTAAAAAAACTTGGAATGGGTTAAATTTAAAATTGGGAGAAAGTTGAAATATAGATGTGAAAGGGGAATATTAAATTCATAGTCTAAAAAAGAAATGTGAGTTATCACGCAATCATCAAACGGCCGTTAAAGTTTCAACTTCTTCGCAATTTCTGCTGCCCCTTCCTTTTCCTTTTCTTTATTTACAAAATCATTTGAAATTTATAAATTAAATATTAAAAAACGATTTTGGTCCTTTAATTTTTAAATAACAATTTACACACTTTTTCAAATATAAACAAAATTAGAAACCGAATCGCTATAAATGAAATTAAATTAAAAAAGGTAAAGCGTTTTTAAAATTTTGATTATTAAGCTATATTATACATTCGAATTATATAAAAAAAGAAAAATAATAAAAATGAAGGAATTTGCCTTTTCCGATAACGTAGTTGGGTTATATTCATACATGGAGGACTGCTAATTTGTCTGTTAATTTAGGTGCTGATCGATTATGGCGACGGGAAGTGGAAGCGCGCATTTGGTAATCCTCTTTTTCTTCAGCTGACGACTTCTTTTTGTAACGACTACGCAAAGATTAACAAAACTGAATCTGGTGGGTCTTTGATTTTTATGTTCCCCAATTATTTGCCTCAATTTTCTGCTGGACTTGATCGCAGGGAGCTTAACTTTCCTGGAAATTTCTGTTTGGTTGAAATTTGGAAACCTTGCGGGAGATTCAAGGGTTTTTCTTGTTAGGGTTTCTTAGCCTTCAATTCTTGCGACAAACGTCGATGTCATTCCAATTCGGTAAACCCTATCGAGGGTTTTCTTTTTCGAGGATGTAACAGTTTCTTTAGGTTAAATAAACCCTGTGAAGCCTGCGGCGGAGGATTGAGCTTTTGATTCTGAATTTTTGTTCGATTTCGTGTTGCCCCAAAGTGGATTCATTCTGGGGATTTGAATTTGGTACTTTATGGTTTGCGATTGGGAGTCTTAAGATTCGGGATGATGGACGAAGCTCAGGGCAGTTCCAATTCGTTGCCTCCTTTCCTGACGAAGACTTACGAGATGGTCGATGATCCTTCCACGGACCCAGTTGTATCTTGGACTCCGGGTAATAAGAGCTTTATTGTGTGGCAACCACTGGAGTTTTCGACTGATCTGCTGCCGAAATTCTTCAAGCATAACAACTTCTCAAGCTTCATTAGACAGCTTAATACATATGTAAGTCAGTACTTAAGTCTGGCTGTGTCCCAGTTCATTTTACTGATAATCACGATTTTTTTTATTGAATTAGTTATTTATTTCAATAGGGTTTTAAGAAAGTGGATCCAGAGAGATGGGAATTTGCAAATGAGGATTTTGAGAAAGGTCGGCCAGACCTTTTGCGGAACATTCACAGGCGAAAACCAGTTCATAGCCATTCGTTGCAGAATGTTCAAGGACAAGGATGTTCATCTCCATTGTTGGATCTTGAAAGGAAGAGATTCGAGGAAGAGGTTGAGAGGCTTAAGAACACTAATGAAAAGCTTCTTCTTGAGTCGCAGAAACACGAACAAGAGAATCGTGAATTACAGTTGCAAATGCAATTGATGAAGGATCGGTTTCAATGTATTCAGCAACAGCAGCAAATGTTGCTTTCTATTGTTGCGCATGCTTTGCAGAAACCAGAATTAACGATTTATTTTGTGCCAGAATCACAATCTCATGAGAGAAAGAGGAGGTTGGCTACAGTCGCTTACTATTACAATGAATCCAGTGCTGAGGATGATCCGGCAGAGCATGCCCATTCAGTGTCAAAGAAGCATATGGATTACTCTTCTACCTCGGATCTAAACATGGAGCAGCTCGACCAGTTAGAGTCATCCCTAACATTTTGGGAGAGGACCATTCACGATGTTGATCAAACTATCATTCTACCCAATCTGAAGTCCAACCAAACGAAAAGTGACATCCAAAGCCCACATATTTCTTCTGTACAACTAAATAGGAATTATCAGTCCGAGTCACATGTTATCGACATGAATTCAGAGCCTGTTGGAAGTATTGCTTCTGATCCCATTGTGTCAAGAAAAGATGCTGATGAAACCACTGCGATTGTGCGTAATGGGGCCAATGATGTGTTTTGGGAACAGTTTTTGACTGAGAATCCTGGTTCATCTGATCCTCCAAAAGTTGCACCAGAAGGCAAGGATTCTGATAATAGTAAAAAGAATGCGAATAAATCTATAAGCTTTGGAAAACTTTGGTGGACTGGGAACAAGATAAATAACCTCGCAGAACAGATGGAACATCTTACTCCAACTGAGAAAACGTGACATTAATTGATCTTTTTTAAGTGATGATGCCCTTGTTGCCCTGCCCATGTGTAATAAATTTAGGTACAAACGAAATCGATAGATTGTGCAGCTGTAAAGAGATTAGTTTCTTCCATTTTCCTATAAGCATGATTGTAGGGATTTCTGGCTCATAAATGTCCTTTCTTTCCACCATTTGATTGTGAATAGCAGCCAACTATACATCAGCTTATGTCTAATTCGTTCTCCTTGACTTATCCTCAATGTGAGGTTATCTGATATCTACAATAGAACAGACATGATGCATCAGATAGATGAACGAAAGAAATGTAATTGTGGAAGCTCCGTGTCCAACTTTCAAGTTTTAGTACTAAAAACCTACTCTCAATTTTCTTTTCCTCATCTTTGTTCATTGCAATTAGCTTCTTGTCATTTTCTTTTGGTGATGATCAAGCTATTTCTTGTTGGATTCATCTAGGCATGCATTCATAATGCTAGGTTCCTTGCATCTTACCATGCTAAGATAGGAGGTTCTTATGTTGTATTCAGAGGGCCATGGTCGTGTGATATTTTGGTCTGCATCTCTCTTTCTATTCAACTGCTAGTAAATTTGTTTATGTTTCTTCGTATACCAATGTAAAGCTTGATACTTGAGTGTTAAAGTTGGAGTTGCTGCCTTTGATAGCCAACCGGATAATGCTGGAAACTCAATATTCCAAGGTCTTCCGTAACAAGAGTTGCCTTCACAACTTTATTTTCATTCTACGTTATGCTGTTTCAAATTGATGCTGAAACTGAAAGGATATAATTTTTGGAGGTTCTTATTGTGGATTTATCACTTTTGTATAGGTTTTATCTTATCCCTATACGAACCTTCTCCTTCTAAATTTTCATGATGGATGTTTTTGATGTAGTTCAACTTATATAAACTGTGGTGACAGATTCTGATGCAATCTAATGTGGTTTCAATTTCAGGCTTACTTATCCTTAATATTCAGCAGGCGTGGTTTTCAAATCTCCATGTTAAAATACTGTGACTGTCAATTAACTGGTTGAGACTTGGCCAAGGAAACATCATGATTGCTGATATTTACAGAATCACGGTGGCCGGAAAAATAAGGTGTGCATTAGTATAGTAATTAATGGCATGATACCTGACTGTAGGTAATTTTGAGTGCGAGTGAAACTGAATTAGTGCAACAGCTATGCATCTGCTATTCCGAATGAATCCCTTCATGTAGGAGCTGTTATTCTATCATGAACTCAGAGGAGCTTTGAGTAGAATCAAAAGTAGTAGAGTTGGTTAATGATGCATGCTATGGGATCATTTGTGGTAATGGTGATACTGGGTTCGAGTGCTTAACCTCTAGTAGAACCATAGGTAATGGAAGAAGGAAGCTACTTTTACCTATTTAAATTTGTTTGTTTTGTTGCATCTGTTTTTTCTGTCAGGTCATGAATCTTGTGTTAATCTCGGCTTCTACTGAACTCAGTTTGCTCATACATATTTTGAGAAAAGAAGAACAAGTTTGCTGATGTACTTGAAAAGAAATGGTTCTGCTATCATAATCTGTAGTGAAAAATATTCAGCATTCCCTTGCAAATTTTTTCTTATAACTGGAGGGTGATCTTTTTAGCTCACCGAAAATAGATATTGTCTGCTTTGACTAGTCTCACATTTTTAAAACGCGTCTACTAGATAGAAGTTTTTACACCTTTATAAAAAAATGTTTTGTTTCCCTTTCCAAATGATGTGAGATCTCAGTCTATCCCTCGTGGCCCAGCGTTCTCATTATCACACTGTTCGGTGGTTCTGATACCATTTGTAACAGCCCAAGTCCACTGCTAGTCGATGTTGTCCACTTTGGTCCATTACGTATCGCCGTTAATCTCATGGTTTTAAAACACGTCTATTGGAAAGAGGTTTCCATACTTTTATAAAAAATGTTTTATTCTACTGTAGGATCTCACAAGATAGTCTCTACGTAGTTCTCTACAATGTTCTAGACAACCAAAGTTAATATTGTAATGACAAAATGAGAGTGAATATGGTCCCAAGGGGATGGATTTCATCAGCTTACCTATTTTTTTTTTTGTCCGCAATAGGAGCGAGCCCCTTCTTTCTCTTTCTATGTGAAGAGGGTGAGGCAGTAAGCAACTCAAACAGCCACATCCGCCGCAGGCAATACACCATTAATTATTGTGTTTATTTTCCCAACAAAGTGGTTTATTTATGAGAATTATTGGCACCAATGTTGAAGCTTTTACTCAAGTTTGATGGGCATTATTTGTTACCATGCCTCCATTTGCTTCAGTTTATTGTCCCATTACTCTCTCTGCCACCAATTTTTTAACCTTTTGGCAACTCCCTACCCATGTCCATGTCCTCAATTCATTCATCATTGCCTGCTTTTCAGTATTGCACACTGTTTACCCACAGATTACCTGTTCCCTTTTGGAACACATATGGCAATTTCTATAATGGGTTTATTCTTCCATTTCAATATCTCATATGCTTGCTTCTCAAGAAAGTGGAAAACGAAGAAACTCAGTTTCCTGAATTGTAAGAGAAAAACAGTAATTCAACATTGCACTTCCTTGCAATGTTTATGAACCAAGACGTTTGTTTTCAACAGATAAGATTGCTACATTTGTCTGAAATTTATTAGCTAAAGAAGCTGTTCATTACATGGGAATTGCTTATTTAACTCAGATTCTAAAGATGCCTGATTCAATTCGTACCAAACTTGCCTAAACACCTTGATGATGAGATCGTGATATTGATCGGAATTCAATGTGAGATAACAAGCCAACAGTTCTTCAAGATCTTCTGCTTTACTGATCCTTCTCTCCATGATCATCTCAACCATTGACTCTCTGAAGTCTTGCTGTGGATGGATCGATGATTTCACGACTGCAAAGCTCTCTAAGTCGGTCTCATCGTCCATTGTATTCTCTCTTACCTTACTCTTCATCTTTAACTTGGCTTTCTTCATATCCTCCAATGCTTTGATCTTGCACATCTCAATTCTAGTGGCTGTTCTTGGAGAGTAAACTCTGATTTTTCTTCTGCCTTTTGGATTCTTCTCATTTGAGTCCTTCCTTGTGTAGATTGGTTGTCTTTGCCTCTCATATCTTGACTTCAATTCTTCAATCTTCAATTCTTTCATCCTTTCCCAGTCTGAATCAGTTTCAATGCCCATTGTGTGAAGTTCATCACTTTCCTCTGCCTTCATGGAAGAAAACACACAGTTTTCTTCTATAGTTCCTAAATTGGAACTTCTTGGCATGGTGGAAGAGATATATATTTGCTTCCTTGTACTTGTCGATTTGGTTTTATCTCTCCCATTCTTCCTAATTCCAGACTCTTCTTCCGGCTCCAACATCTTCTTTTCTACTGATCTTCTTGCTCTCTCCTTTGCTTTAACTGTCTCCCTCTCTGGTTGAAATCCCTTCTTCTCCACCACTTTTTTACCCAAATTCTTGAAGTTCCCATTTTCTCTGCATTTGCTCCTCGGAGTTCCTGATTCAATTTCACACTCTCTTCTCAAAATTTTCACTGGGGTTGGAGTTTCTCTCCTCCTTCTCCTTCTCCGTGTCATCCTCGCAACCATGTCGCCAAAATTCTGGATCTCTTCCTTTCCCTCAAACTCTGTACATTTTGATCTGCAGCTTCTACAACTTGTATGTGGAAGCTCGTGCTCATCCTCGGAGTTGTACCATACCGATCTCAGAACCCCTCCACTCTTTTTGGAATCAAAACCATCTTCTCCAAAGGGCAGCTTCCAAAACTCACCATTATCTCCCCTACGCAATCCACTGCGATTCCCATTTACTTGATCAGGGGAGGGGGTCTCATTTGCATAATCAGGCGATTGAATGCAAGGCGAATTCCTCCTCTCTGTTCCCTTTACTTGTGTGGGTTTGGCCTCTTGGTTGCTTTTCTTTTGCTTGAGCTTTGAGAACCAAGAAGCAGGTAAGATATTAGACATAAAAGAAGGCCTAGAGGAAGAAGAAGAAGAAGTTGAAGAAGAAGAAGAAGCATTGTGCGGTTTTCTCCTACCCCATTTCATAATTTCAGCAGAGAAAGATTGGTTGCAGTTGTGTTGGAACAAAAAGAAAAAGGTTACTCGCGTTAGAAATATACTTGGGCAATGGAACACGAAAGAAGAAAGTGACTCAAAGAAGATAATGGTAGAGGGAAGATGGTGGCAGTAGCAGTTATTGAGACAGTTAAGCTGTTAAGTAGGAACGTGGGTTTCATATTGGTCTTTTTGCTGTTTTTTCAAAAGAAAGGCCCGCCATAAATCCTGTGACCACTTGCCCACTTTTTATCACTTTTGTGGACAGTTTTCAATATAACAAAGAATTAAAAGGAAACTTTAAAAAAAAAAAAAAAAAAAAAAACAGGACAACAGAAAAAGAAAAGGAACCTATTTCCTTAATCTTCATCTCGCCTAGTGCATATAGGCTCCAACTCACAGAAGGTATAAGAATTGGCAGTTGGCTGTGTGTCATTATCACAAACACCTGTTGAGAAGGCAGACATGGGGAAAAAAGGGGTTTCTTTTCTACATTTAACGCCACATATCAACTAGGAGAGCCCTTAGTTCTAGTTTTGGATTGAACTGTTTCTGGGAAATCCTTGTCAAACTTTGGTGATGGAATTTTATTGGGTTTCCTGTCTTTCTGCTTTATTGTTTTTTTCCATCACTTATAGATGTTCCGACTTTTGCCTTTGGTCTAAAGCTGAATACAAGTAATCCAGTAAGTTAACTGGCTTGAGCCGGAGGGCTGTAAATTTTCCCATGGAGATTATGAACCTTTTCTGGGCTTAAAATGAAGAGTGGCTTTCGCCAAGTAGATTGCTCCATTGCACTCTGAGGTTACTCCTATCAAGCATTAAAGTTGATTTGGTTTTGATCTACAGGAAAGAATGTTTTCTAGACCTATAATTAGTAGTTGGTAAAGGTTAGTTTAAAAGTACATGTAAAATCACAGTTCATAAAAAAGAATAAGCGAGACAGGAAACCAAATATATGATCATATTCAGTATGAAGATGATGAAGACAAACCCTTGTGGGGACTTCCGCATGAAGGAATCTTTATCAGTTGGTGGAGGGTACTAGTTTTGTTGAGTCGACAATATAATGGGCATGCAGTTGTTGAAATAGTCCAACGACCTACGTAGCCTCAGAGTCATACATAGACGATGTGACAATTTGACCATTGCTTTTCAGCTTCACTCAACCAAGTGCTGTGATCTTGCAGATTATGGCAAGAAATAGCTATCCAGAAAGTGGATTTAGTGAATGATCGTCCCTGCAGTTGAAGAGGATTATTTCAACTAAACTATTTTCGTAAAAGATCGGGTTGCTTCACTTCGTGAGCTATTGAAAAACAGCAATAATGATGTTATAAACAAAAACCTGATAGACTTCAATCGAACTGTTAATAGACAATTTCGTATCAGTCAATGTTGGATGTTGGCGGTTGAAAGATGTGGTGTCCACTCTTCCTCTTGTATGGTTCCTAAGTGATTCTTTTAGAACCAATGGTTTTCTTAGATTTCAAATTCGTTTAGACTTTTCAAGCCCATTGGATAACACTTTCTAATACACTTGTTGCATAACTTGTAGACAAATGTTGTATTACTATTCTTATACATAAAATTTTGAAAAACAGTTCTTGTACACTCAATTTCACCCCACTTGACGGCAGCCTGGAGCCAATAATGTTTCAAGCCTTCAACGAAGAACTTTAACGGTTAGTGAGTGTATGTAGCAGCAGAGAAGCTTAGTTTATATACCAAAAACAGTTCTCATGCACTGTGATTGTTTGAGGGTATAGAATTGCTTGGCATCCTGAAAAGGAAGAGCAAGTTAGAACTACTTGTGTATTCTGTGCAAATGCTCTGGAAGAAGAAAGACTAATTTCCCCACGTTTAACTGCATCATCATATTCATGGATTCCTGGAGGAAAAGTATATACATATGCTCAATATTCATTATGTCATAAGCTGCCACACATCCTGAGGAAGATGGGAGTGAAAATGAAACCTGCACGCAAGAAAAGATAGCTTCTAATCAACCAAAGAAATCATTTATACTTGATTACCATAAATTCACCAGACTGAAGCTCACTCCAGAGCAGATAATCCGAGAGATGAACATCAATAATTGGCTTTCTAGGTGAATAGTGCAGCCAGATCCAGATTTAGAAAGGAAAATATGAGATTGACATCAACAATTAGATCTCTAACTCAGATTGTTTTGCTAATACATCTAGATGCATACAGGAAGAATTCTGGACGACTTGGAAAGTATTGTGGTTAGTTGGCAACCTATCAAATCAATCCTCAATGACTTCTAATTCTATAAGTGTTTGCATTTGAAGTGAAAACGCATGATTCCACAACAATTACTTGAGTGGATGAAGATTTTAGAAATGAAACTCCTTAACATTGGACTACAGATTGATACAATTCCAGTGAATTGCGATATCATTCTGCTAAATGATTTCAAGATGCTAATTATTATGGTAGTAAAGTTCGAAGTATATTGTAAATCTCAAAAGAACTGATCTTATAAGGTGGAAACTGAATTTGAGTGAGAAAAGGTCATGAGGACTGCATTCTATGATCCTCTCCTATTCTTACCATGAAAAATTAATTGATTTCATAAAAATGGATACACAGATAAAAATCAGCCTAGTAATCAACATGCAACGGAAAGGAAAAGTAAGATTAAATATAACTAAATGAGAAAACGAAGTTAATCAACCCCCAAGACCATTCACCCTCTTCTTCCTTTACGGCCGGAATTATTACCTTGCCCAACTAAGCAGAGAGACAATTCCCACACGAGACGAATTTCAGCAATGACTGTGGCCTTCGAGTTCTGATTTTTAACCGTGAAAGCTGCAAAGAAAATCATCAATAAGTAAACTTTTAACTGAAACTACAGAAAAGAGGCATCATTTGCTATTATTAGTACCATATGTGCACTGCAACTCATACACATAACCAAAACCTGGGAATAACAGTCATGAGAGGAAAAATGTCATGGGTCTTTCCTAGTAATAAACAAGTAGGACAACTGCATTGAACAGATGATTATAACCTCTCAATAGAAAAAATGACTCTGGCTCAATTTTCTAATATTTCATCAAAATATTGGTTATTCGAGGTGAAAGCAAATTGACAATGGAAGGACCAAGTAAATAAACTTAACAATATGCTTCATTAGTATTTTTTTTTTCCGAGAAAACACACGCTTCATTATCATCAAACCGAAACCTAGCTTAGGCATAAAATTACTAATCACACAATGAAGGAGAGATTAAAGCATAATTTGCTACATTATACACATTTTCCATGGGCTTCAGGATTGGACTTCAGTAGTTTATCATTCTCATCTGAATGGTTTCAAAATACTTATTAACAGATCATTATGAAAGAAGCTGACATATATGACAAACATCATGAGAATTTTCGAGAGTATTGACATAATAAATTGCAAGAAACTGGCATATGCCCTTCATCGTCCAACTAGTATCAAACAACCACTGGTGGATATCCTTTTCCTTTAGTTATCTATTCCTCAAGAAAACATTTAAACTACTGTATGACTCTAGAAATATGACAGCCAATACAAAGTTTTCCCTTATATTATCTACATTCAAAATAACAAACACCAGACCGTGAACAAAAATTTATGAAAATGGTTTCTTGAGATTTATGATATTTGCACCAGAATGCAACAGGAGTGAGGAATTTCAATAGGATGCCTTCCACTTAAGGGAATGAATGAAATACATCTATCCCTGCAAAGTTAAATAGCCTATTTTATAGAAAAAAAATTGAAGACTGTATTTTTCTCAAATAGACATAGTGATATTAAAACTGAAACAAACCATTTATAAATTATCTTAAACCTTTTTCTCACCCTACCTTTCTTTGAGTAACTCTAGATGCTTTCCAGCATAATAAGCTTCTTGATTGAGGTTCAAGTCTCCTGCACAAAATGTAAAAAATAACAAGAGAAGAAAAGAACTCTAGGAATTTGAAAGTCCAACAAGATTAAGAAGGTGCATTTGGTTGTGAAACATGGGCGAATCTTATCATCAATGCCAATTAATAAACTCAGCTTCCGAAAAGTATAGGAAAAAAAAAAAAAAAAAAAAAAAAAGGAAATATCACTAAGAGAAATCCACCACAACTGGAAACTAGTTTCCATGACCTTTGCAATCTCGAGTAGTGAAAAAGCATCTGATTCAGCTTCAATATAACTATATAAGCCACTCAAGAGTACGCTAAGCAATCAATAGATATCTGTTGTACATAGGATTGGGCAGTAGGAACTTTGTGGCTGATACCTCCCCTCTGGGTTTAGTTTAAAAGTCCCATACGTGAATAATTGCACAACTTCATTATTACGAGTAACTTATTTACTAAGATTCATTAAAAAAAAAAAAAAAAAAAAAAAAAAAAACCTCTTAAATCTATGTAAATTTTGTTAACCTTTCATATTTTTTCCTGAAATGTGAAATATCTCTGACAGCCTATAATCTACCTCAAGTTGCTAATTAGTACCACTTCAAAAGCATATTCTCTGAAATAAATTCAAATATGTAGCTTTATAGAAATAGCCCAGAGAAGGAAAGGCTCAGCCTACACAGTTAGGCCAAAGATATTAAGCTTCATGATGAACAGGGTTTTTGCAGGATGAGATAGAAGAGTAAGAAGACTTTTGTTTGAAAGATTTTGTATGTTTCCATTTTCATTTTTTTTATTTTTTTGAAGATTGTGATCAAAGGACAATTGAAAATTATGTGATTGTTCAATAAAATAGAAAACTGTTTTGAGTTTCAAAACCACATTTAATGCATAGGAGTTGTTCTCCCTCTGCCAAAATATGAAACTTTGAGGTAGCAATACGTACAAGTTTTCCTGCTCAAGTTCTTCAGCTATAGATACAGTCTTGTGTTTGGACCGTCCATTTCTCTGTGAACATCCTTCTGCCTGCTGAATAACATGTGCCAGAGATACTTTGCTTCTCACAATACTTTGACTCTGGCTTTGAGCTCCACCTTCTCTTGTTTCTGAAATTGATGACATGGTAGAGTTCCTGCGTGAGACTGACACTTCTCCCTGTGAACCTTCCAAATTCCTATGATTCGATTCTATTTGATTATAGGCTACCCTTGGTAAAGCATCTATTTCAACAATTTCACCTCTTCCAACTTCACCGGAACCGTAGTGTGATAACTGAGCTTGAGGCTCACAACTGCTCATGTCCCTAATATGTAACAAACCATTCTTGGAGGCAGGTAGAGTAACTGATGAATGATTTTTCAATTCACATCTAAATTCAATTATCACTGATGACCCAAGAGCAGACTCAAATGCTTGTACGATTTGCTCTCTCAATTTCTCTGCTTTTGATTTTGCATGATGTGAATTGAATATCAAGCGCACAGTTGGTGCTGCCAAAAAACAAGGTAGATTAGCAATAGTCAAAACACTTCGCTAAGATGCTAAAATAACATGCATAATTTTTATGTGATCCTAAGAATTGATGCTCAATTTGACATTTGTAAAATATATGTTTTGAAATAAATAAAGTGAATTATAGAGGCATGAAACTGTGCAACAAGGATGCAACAAAATGTACCTGCACCAGAACTGACTGATGCAAGCTTCCCTTCTTGAATAAAAAATTCTTTAATACTATTTCTCCGAATTTTTCCTAGCACCTCCAACCAAATTTCTTCAATATCTTTACCAGAAACCTGCTTTCCACTAGACTTGATTAAATCATCAGCGCTTGCAATTGTCTGCTGAGGAGCCACACCAACTCCAGAATGTCTTTTTTTGTCTAAACTGATGCCTTCGGCCATTCTATTGTCATATAAATCTGTTGACAATCCTTTCTGAGGTATTTCAGCGTTCCTAAACCCTAAACCCCTACCATTCACATTATTCAGGGCCAAGGGACTGTGGTTAAAGCTAGTCTCCGCAGAACTGGATAACATATACTGCTGATCAGGAGCAAGTTGAAGTAATGCAGCTGTAAGCCAGGTTACTTTATCATTCGACGTTCTTAATTGCTTCTCAGCTTCAGACAATGTTCTCAGAGCTTGACGTAGCTTGTCCATATCTTCTTTGGATACTAGAATGAAAGCAAAAAAGAGCATCATCGGTGTGATAGATGACAAAGCCAACATAAGGAACATTTCAGCAAAATTTTCAAAATGAGCTAAGGATCATATGAAATCTGCATTCCTTAATTTGTTGAAGATTAGTTGTTAGGCTGGTAGATTGTGGAGTGTTTGTTATTTATTTTTCCTAGTTTCTAGCTAACCTAAGTTAGCCTGGTTTGTAACGTTAAATAGCCTTCTGAGCTTATTAATCAGAATAAGAAAATTTTAATCTACTTAAAACTAGAGGTCATAATGCATCGAAGGAACAAAAAAAAAAAAAGCTATGAACTTTACAGAACAACAATCTAGTTACAGGTGAAATGGATTAATGAAGGTCCTTCACATTTATAAGCAGGAAAGCATGTGAACCACCTTGATTTAACTTCTACTCACAGCGAGGTCATCATAAATTACATGATATGTTCTTTGACTTACATGGTTGACGTCGGAAAAACTTCCTTCGAGGTCTTTCTTTTTTGAAATCATAACTACCAGCAAGAATATCAGTAATTACAGTTGCAATTTGTGACATCAATGCCATTGGCTCCACACCACTTTCAATTATCAGCCTCAAGTTTTTCACAGTGTTTACAGTATCAGCAGATAGAGCTAGATCAAGAAGATCCACCAATTTTTCGTCAGAGATGAGCCCAACCTGAAAACCCAATGGAGAACATATATATAAATTGAAATGATAAGAAAATTATATGAACTAGAAATTATAAGAACCAAACTGCATTGCAAGGGATACTGTTATTCTTATATTTTTGAAGAATTTATATCATTGTAACTAAAGCCAGAATTTTAATCACCAGAAACGAGTCTATCATCTTATACTGGAAGAATTATTATAAGCAAGTTCATGCTTCACCAGTTGAGAAAACCATTTCAGAAACTATCACAACCCCCTCCCTCCCTCCATAAAAGCTACTTCCATGACCGAAAACAGGAAATAATTTTTTTTTTGTCCCACATGAAAATATATAAGGTCATATTAACAAAATAAAAGACAGCATTGTTTGTTTCAGTTGAAAGTTTGAAACAGCGTAGACCAAATTTGTGGTCACTGGTCAGCATACTGGAAAATTTTTAATTTATGTCAGTAAAACAAATGATATTCACACACAGACTGAAAGGTAACTAAACAGTGATGATTAAAAGTATACGAGATACATTCCATGCACACCTTGTGGAAGTTTCAAGTCTTCAATAAACCTGCTCGTAGGGTTCTTAAAAGAAAATATGTAGACGAAAGAACACATTTAGGTTTGTACTATTCCCTAACAATAAGGAAGTCAAGAAATAAGACAACGATAGAATTGCAGGCCAAGATCACTTTCGCTCTCGAAACAATTCATGTCAAATTTCAAAGTAGGCAGAAATTATTTCATTCACTAGTGTCTAGGCATGGAATAGTAGCATCCGAAAAATGGTGAATGGAAACTTCCATCACTAACTCTTTCTTGCGAATTAAAATATACTCACTAGTTCCTGAATTAGAGGAACAGAAATTCTCTGGCCAAGTAAACTGAGCTGCTCAAGAGTCATTTCGGCATCCCTCAATGATCCATCAGATCTTGATGCGATAAGTTTTAGTGCATCTTTATCAATTTCTAAATTTTCTTGGGTAGCAATCCACTGCAAAGTACGGATGATATCAGCATCCTTCAGCTTTGGGAAAAAAAATTTCTGGCACCTGGATATGATTATATGAGGTAAAACATCTGGACTTGAACAGACAAAAACAAAAACTAGACGTCGAGGTGCTCGGTCAATGACCTTTGTGATGGCACTCCAGCAATTAGAGGAAAAGCTGTCACAATCATAAAAAATGAACACTGTATACTGTGATGGGAGCCGAGAAGCTATCATATGGTCAAGTAGTTCATTAATGCTCTCGAAGTCTAGATTACTTGCAGGAACAACTTCCCTTATATTCCTGCTCTTTCCCACGTCATCTCCAATGCAAGAATTGCATAACCCACAGGGTTTGGAATGTTCCAAAGACTGGCAGTTCAATGCTCTAGCAAATATGCGAGCACAGGATGTTTTTCCTGTACCATGAGGACCATAAAACACATATAGTAACCCCACCTTCTTCTTCAAGACAGCATTTGAAAGAGCTTGGGCTACTAAATTTTGTCCCACCAAACCTTTGAATGTTCGTGGCATGTATTTTTGTGTCAGATTTTGATGTCCAGAACGAGGATAGTGGCCTTGCGTTCTTCTTCGGTTACTACACCTTGCTTCTGAAGCAAGGTCAGAATCATCTTCATGTTCAACATAATTATCAGCAAATATTCCCAATTCCCCAGAGTAATCTTGTTGCCAGCCAGCATTTTCAATGCTTTCCTGCGACCCTGAGGCCTCAACCAGTAAAGGTAGTGCCTCGGCATCAAACTTAGCAGATGAGCTTGAGTTATCAGATGCAATGGATGTGTCAGAAATACAGTTCCCATGTGCAGTTGGACTGCATTTTCTTAACATTGAATCTGACAGGCCACAAGAGAAACTCCTTCCAGCCATGTCTAAAAACGTTTTCCCCCTATGATGAATTCTTGACCAATTCCAAGGCATTCCACACCCATTTCCAGGAGCACCCATGACATTTTTGTTGGCATAATTTTCATTTTCCTCTTCCATTTTATGCTTTGAATGAGATGAACCATGAGCTAATGTATTAGAAGCTACAGACAATTCATTGTGAACCCCAGTGTCTCTGGAAGTTAAATTCATATGACTTCTCCTTGTAGCGCGAAATTTTCGCCTTTTTACCCTATCCAATCCACTGCAGTTTCCATGGAAGCTGGGTTCAGGTTCATCAATGAATTTCTCTTGCTGAGATCGTCTCCCATATACATTTGCACTTGAAGACGCAATGTCCTCGCTATGTATAGGAGCAGAAATCAGTTGCTCCGATAGTTTCTTAAATGGAATGCCCTTGACCTGCTTATCTTTCTGTTCACTTCTATCTTTAGATTCTGATTTCCTCGAAATAATCTCGTGCAGAAGATGTGCATCTTGAACAGGTGATGATTCTTCATTACCATCCAAGACACTGTTTCCAACACTCCTCCGACTTAACTCTTCTCTCCGAATTCGTCGACCATCTTGGATTTCACTCTTAACACTGTGCTCACTAACTGCTGTCACCCTATAAGTGCCCACATTCATATCAGCCGGAATGACATTTGATGTGGCAAAACTTCCCGAGAGTGGAGAACTTCCTGACATTGTTCTACCTACCCTTCGACTCTCAGTTCCTACTGACCTTCTTCCTTCACGAATCACTGCATTATTTTCACCCACCCTCGGTGGCAGATCAGTTAATGAGGGAGACTGCCATGAGGGAGGACTTGCAGAAGGGTCCCTGAGAGATCGTGACCTCTGAAGGACAATGAGGTCCCTCATAAGAGACCTGTCAGCCAAGATGGGGCTGTGCTTGTGCATGTGATTCTTCAAGTGAATGCAGTTTGTCAAGTGAATGTGGTTACGCAGATGATCGCTAATATCACCATTTGCCTCCTTGAGAACTCTATCGTGGACAGCTCTAGTCATGATGAGAATACAAATGCATTTGGTAGGGAAATTTCTTGACAATTGAGGAAACAAATCTAAATATATTGCATATGAATCAGACAACGAAAGCTCCAACCTCTGCAATGACGATATATAAATTCCAAATACCCCGCAGTTTAGGCAAAGAGAGGTCCTCCTATTTTAAAGTAGGTGAGTTAAATTCTAACTCTATTTAAACCAACCCATTTCAAACATTTACTTCCAAAACCTCGTCGACTTTCTTCCAATTAGAAAATGAGAAACAAAGAAAATCCATCACCGAAACACTTCCAATCACCCATCCCAAAAAACCTGGGTCGAGTACATCATGAAGCTTATCACTGGAGACCCAAGTTGAAGTAGCATTCAAACCAAATGCTACTCCAACTGAATCCTAATTAGCAGCCAAAAGAAAACTCCAATGCGAACTGCAACAAGCTCAACCCAGCTTCAGCACGTAAGGGAAAACACAAAGGAACCCCTCTTTCCACAAAAAAAACAAAATGCTAGAATCAAAACCCCATTCGTAGTCCCCTTAAATCCTAAAAAAATGGTGGCCGTCTCTGTCAAAACGGAAGAGAACAAAATGAGAACGACAGCAAAAGAAGATAAAAAGATACAATGAAGAAAACAGAAAGAGTAGGGCAGAGAGAAAGTGTTGAGTCAAAAAGGAAAGAACAGGAATCACCTGAATCAGAAGAAAGGAACAGCAGAACCCAATCTGGCGCTTCGAGAATTAAAGCCCGGATCTCTCAGCAAGCTTCCCATGAAGCTCACGAGGTGCCCTTTCACAGGAAAGTGATAACCCAGTCCAAACACACAGGAACCTCCGCTTCACAGAGAGAAACAGAAAAATTCAGCAGAATACCGAGCATGAGCAGAAGAGTGTATAGCGGGAAGTGAGGAGGAGGAGGAGAAGAAGAAGAAGAAGAAGAAGGACACCTCTCGCAGCTGAGGCCAAGCCAGCACAGGAACATAAACAATTTATTGAATAATACCGTCTTTGTGCATTTATTTAATAATTAAATGAGACATAAATTATACTTGAAAGTTAGAACTATATAAAAAGACAATATTTCATTTCACATTAAATACAACTTCCAATTTTATAAATTTTATCTAATATGTTTGAGAGTATGAAGTTACGTGAATTTGAATCTAATTAAAACATATTTATCTAATATATATATTAATGTTTGCCTTGCAGCTGGGTGTTGGATGGGCTAGTCCAGCCCATTATCAAATGGGCTTTTAAGGTCAAGTCTGGCCCACCACTATTGATCGAGCCCACCATTATTTGGACCCTACGGCCCAAATAAAAACACCCTTCCCGAAAACATCCAAATAACAATACCCCTTCTATTTTATTGGCCACACGTTCGAAATAAAATTGTATTTAAAAATTAAATTGAATAATACCAAGAAAATTTATTATTTGAGAAAGCTAAGCTAATTCTAATTCATTAGTTCATTTACTAATTTTTTTAATTATTTGTTTATTGTCTTTGATATTAAAAAATGGTGTATTAAAAAGAAAATGGGAAATAAAAAAAGTCAACAGGAAACAATGATGTGGAGCATTGAGGTCAAACTGATGAAGTGTTTTGCCACGTGTCATTTTTGTTGGTGGGGAATACACAGAACATCGTGGAAGCAGTGGGGGCGTTTCCAATTGCCACGTCGCTTTTCCTTTCACTCCCGTTCCAAGTCCTTCCCCTTCCCAAATTCCCTCCGCCTCCTTTCCCCCATCGTCTCTCATTTCGTTTTCTCCTCTTCACTCTTTCTTCCCCGAAATCTTCTTCACTCTTAAACCATGAATATCTTCAGGTTCGCCGGCGATATGACCCACTTGATCAGTGTTTTAGTTCTTCTCCTCAAAATCTACGCTACCAAATCATGCTCCGGTAATTTACCTCCCCTTTTCTTTTCCTGTATTCTGCTGTTTGATTCTGGCATTGAGGAGGAGAAGATGATACTAAGAAATTTAAATAGCAGTGTGGGTCTCCGGTATATTCTTTTATTTTTTGGTTCTCAATGGTGGATCATGCTATAATGAATTGGAAATGGGATTATGATACCGACTTCTCGAAGCAGAAATTTAGCCCGTTCAGCTTCCAGATGGTGTTATTATTGCTCAATTGAATTTTAATTGAACTTTTTGAAAAAGTTTCTGTACTTTTTTTATGCTGATGATTGGAGCATTAGGTTTTTTTCCCCTCTTTAGTTTTCGAGACGATTATGTTAAAGACTGTGACTTTACTGAGTTGATTTTTGTATACTTGAGTTTGATGGTTTAGACTTTTCTTCATCAGAACGTTTACTTAATTGGAATATGAACGTGGAATTGATTTGTTAATTTATGCTTTGAAGGAATTTCACTCAAGACTCAGGAGTTGTATGCCCTTGTCTTTCTGACCCGGTATTTGGATCTTTTAACGGACTTCATATCTATCTATAATACTGTGATGAAGCTGATTTTTATAGCAAGCTCTCTAGCAATTGTTTGGTGCATGCGGGTGCATCCAATCGTGAGGCGGTCGTATGATAAAGATCTTGACACTTTTCGTCATTATTTTCTTGTTGCTGCAAGTTTCATTCTCGCACTTTTAGTGAATGAGAAGTTTGGGTTTCAAGAGGTGAGGCAATTTTAATATAAATGATTTTAGTTCGCGTTTGATGCTTGATGAGTTTCATCAGTTCATCTTTTCCAGATTTCATCCCCATTAGGCAATGTTCATGTGAGATTAGAACCATCATGATAATTTGTTCATTTAACTGTAAAAGTTCATAAATTGATTCATGCAAGCCTTAACTAGTACTCTGGAAACTCTCCAGGATAAAAAGACCATTGAGCATCGGTTACCCAGTATGATTGCATCTTAACAATTCTCATGAAATATCTGCGTCTCTTAACAAATTTGAACAAGTCCTGCAGAAACATCAGTGTTGAGACAAAATTTTGTAAACATAGCATCGTCACTCCCTATTACCCCATTCCTGTTGATTGACAAGATACATCTTGTGATGTTACCTTCAAAGACATGCTCACTTCACTTTTGTCAATACTCGTCAAGAAGTTTGTCTTTTGTTATTTTATTATTGTAGAGATAATCCAGTCTTACTCTGATCCATTCTCTGTTTCGTGTTTCCTACTTTCTTAATTTTAAGGATATGACACAGTAGAAAATGATATTGTTGAACTTGTTTTGCTCCAGGTCTTTTGGGCGTTTTCAATATACTTGGAGGCTGTAGCAATTCTTCCTCAATTAGTTTTATTGCAACGAAGTGGGAATGTGGACAATTTAACCGGCCATTACATCTTCTTTCTTGGGTTCGTATATTTCATTTATCATTGGCGGTGGTGTTTTATTGAAGAATTACTTTTCTGCCAACCTCATCAGTTTTTAAAGAATATGACCAGTCATTCTTTTTTTATTCTGCAGTATGTATTTGAAGTAATTTTATCCTTTAGAGCCATGACCAATATCCAAAACAATAAATTTTCTAAATGACATATATAAATGGGTTTTTAGTTTCACATGGCAAGGATTTGTATCACTTGATACCCTGAAAATTTATATATTTCATTAAGTAGATTCCAACAAAGATATTAAAATCTTTTGGATGCATGATGATGTTCATTTCGACTGGTTCATGAAAAACCCTCCACGTTCAATGTCATTGGACTAAGCAAGCCATGCATTACATATCCAATATGTTCTTTAAGAAAATTTGTCTAGGTTTGTTATAAATCTATGATTGTTACCGGACCTTTTGTCATGGGGAAGGCTTCCACAAGCAGTTGGTACATGATATTTTTTCTACCAAAAGTATAGAACTTTCTGGTTGATCTTCTTGAAAGGAAGCTTTATTTTAGCTAAGATCCTAACTTCTTCTTGGTTTACCCTTTCAAGCTTGTTCTTTAAATATAGTTTTTTTTTATTGGAACTACAATCAATCTGCAGAGCCTATCGTGCACTCTACATCCTCAACTGGATCTACCGATATTTCATGGAAACGCACTTCAGTCGGTGGATAGGTAAGATTGGTATTGGTTTACCATCACACACTCTTTGTCACTTGTTATCTGTAGATGGCTTACATGGTGTTTGATTTCTTGTAGCTTGCATTGCTGGGCTGGTTCAGACGGCTTTATATGCTGATTTCTTTTACTACTACTACATTAGGTGATTGAATCAAACTCCTAAGGAGTACTGTTTTGGTTTTGCTTCAATTGCATTGTCATATCGAGTGATAAGCTTCCGACCTATCTTTTGCAGCTGGAAAAACAAGGCGAAGCTTCAGTTGCCAGCTTGATTAAAGCTGGGACCAGTTTTTGACTTTATGGAGCTTGAGATCCAATTACGTTTCTACACCATGGCAGGTAGCTTGGCTTGGAAGTGGGGATAGAACACCTAACTTCAACCATCACAACTTCCTTCATATCCGGGTAGGGTACCTTTTAACTGCCAAAATGCAGGTGGGTTCTTGATGGAAACTGACATTTCATAGGGACTTTTTGATTAACCCTGTTCAAAGGTAATTATAGTTTCTGGCGTTAGGTTTCTTTTCTTCATTTCTAACTTGTAAAGATATCCTTTGGGACTTGGTGGAACTGACATCAAGGTTATATTAGCTGATGCAGTCTTCCATTCTGTAGTGTCTAAAGTTTATTGCCGAGGGAATCACTTTCACATTGTTACTGAGAGAACAAATTTAAAGTTGTTTTTCGTTGAACTACCAATAGATAATGATGCCAATTCCATTTATTTTGATTTTAGTTTTCGGTGGAAACACAACATATGACTTTAGTATCCTCCATTGTTATTGTGATGAAATTTAATAGTTAAGGAAATTGAGTGCGTTTTGGGCCATTGCCCACATGTGAATGATATTATTGACAACTTTTTGGGAGTGTGTTTCAAAGTGTGTAACGGTTGGCTGAAAATATGTGTAACCCATTGATGTATTGTGTACTATCTACGAGACTTTGCTTTTCCCCCTTAAACTGCAACACTCAGCTCTTCCCTAAGTTTATTCAAAAAGCCACTGATGGTCTCTGAGTTTTTTCAACTTTGTTGTGCTGCACAGCAAGTGCCATCAGACAACTCTCAACTTTAAACTGCGGCCACCGCTCATCAAAGACAGAAGAATCAATGTGTCTGATACGAGTCCTATTGTGTTCTGAAAAGAAGAAGGCTCTGTAAAAGACAACTTTGAATTTTGAAATGGTTGGTTCCAAGAGCTTTAATGTAAGGCTAGTTCAAATAATGGTGGAAAGAATTTGATTATCTTTATTGTCGTCTAAATTAGTAGAGCAAGTAGTATGAGAAGTGAAGCCAAACAATTGAGTCTTTTGAGGTGAGGTGTAAGGCCCACTAGTAAAGCAAAGAGAAGCACTTGGAATAGGAATAAGAATAGGGCTACCAGAGTGGTTTGCCAATCCCCAAAAGCTTCAGCACTCTGTGACCACCAGTCTTCTCAAGTCTTGAGTGCAAGTATGAATCCTTTTTTCATCCCCAGGAAGGGCCATGACACCTGCTGTCATTTTAGTCTTATTCCATTAGAGCTGGATGAGCACACTTGCTTGGTGTTTAACAGCCACCATTTTGAACGTTCTGCTTGCTGAATCTGCATGTGAATTGAATGTATATTGATGTCACCAATCGATTGAAGCATGCTTATTGCCATAACCGACTCCAAAATGTTGGGTCCCGATCTCATTGCATGCCACAAAAGAAAATAGGAAAAGTTGTTGCTAAACTTATTGATTAGGAGTAATCAAAGCTTGAAATTAGAGTATAGAAATAGAAGAAAAGAAAGCTGCATTGTTCTGTCCGCCATTGAAAGTTAGCTGAGTTTATTGCACTAATTTTGTCTCATTTGTGTCGGAATTATGCAGCAGCAAGGACCCAGTAGGCCATACACAACCCTCTTGATGAAGACTCCTCAATACCCCTCCTCCGCTCCAGAATCTTTTTACATAACCAAAATTCCTCCCCCAAACAGTCATGGTTGTTATTATTCCAGAGAAGACGAGATAAAACGAACATTCTATTAGCTATTTGATCGTTCTTTAGACAAATTTAGGAAACAAAGACGTTGCAAAGGGAACCAAAAGAAGATGGTGACAAGAATAGTGCTTTTGTTCATTCCCTTCTTTTCCCAAATCTTTTCCTTTTGCACCAGTGGTTTCACAAAGCAAAAATAAACTATCTTCAGAGTATGGGCCTATCCCTTGTGTCTTTCTTTTTTGGCTCAACATATTCCCAACCCCAAGTCAAGTGTATGACAGAGTGAGTAATAATTACTGAGATAGACACACCTGCAAGAAAAGCTAAAAGAAAATTCAAAGTTTTCCACTTGGTTTAGGCTTGGAAGATTTGTGCATGAAGATTAGTAAAAGAAGAAGAAGAAGAAGAAAACTCCGCAATCCCAATGATTAAAATTTGGTTTAGTGTAGGGTCCATGGTTTGATCTACACACCCAAAGCTCATCCATCACTTTACAAGCGTAGACTTCACAAATATTTTTGTAATAATATCACCTCCAGGCTGAGGCTGCTGATGGCGCCACCTAAATATTCTTAAAACCCTATTATTAAGTTCAGCTTCAGGAGCACCCTTTCTTCATATTAAAGCAGAATCATTTCATTTCCATGGAAAATCGCAGAGTATTATTAAGAGCTGCGAGCGATGTAATGTAAAAAAAAAAAAAAAAAAAAACTTACATTCTTGACACTGCGCTCTGTGCTGCTATATAATGGCAATGGGCATTGCTTTGGCTTCCTTTTCTTTTTCTTTGATTCCCACCTGCGCTTTGAATCTCGGCTTTTTTCGACCCAGACCTCCATTTCCGGCCTTAATCTAAGATATAGTCAAAGTTTCCTCCGCTTTGCTTTTTGCTGAGAAAACTCTGCTCTTTTAATCACTTTTCCCCGTTTAACCCTCTTTCTAGTTCCCCTGTTTTCGTTCGCCAATTACCAAATCTTCCGTTTCTGTTCTCCATTGGAGCCTCCCTCTTTTGAGCTCAATATAACTCTGTTTTCTGAGTGTTCGCGCGTGCGTGTGTTTTTCTCCTTTCTTTCTTATGGCAACGATCAAACCCAATTCATCCGGGAAGAGCAAAACGAGATTCGCCAGGACTTTTCAGAAGGTAATCAATCTCAGGAACGCAACTCGGATCGCGTCAAGTAATGGAATCTGTGTTCTGGTTTCACATAACAAGTTTAAAGATGATGCGAGTATCCATGGAGGAAAATCCCAAATCTTTGACAGAGGTGAAGAAGACGTCAAAGCTCGGAACAAGGCAGTCATGGAAGCTCTGGCTGCAAAGCTTTTTGCTAGCGTTACTTCAATCAAAGCTGCTTACGCCGAGCTTCAAATGGCACAGAGTCCTTACAACAGCGACGCAATTCAAGCTGCAGACCAGGCGGTGGTAGACGAATTGAAGGTCATTTCAGAGTTGAAACGGAGCTTCTTAAAGAAAGAATTAGATCTCTCACCGCAAGTGACATTAATGCTCTCAGAGATTCAGGAACAGCAAAGTTTGATGAAAACCTACGAGATTACCATTAAGAAACTGCAAGCTGAGTCGGAGCAGAAGGATATCGGTATTGTCGCGTTAAAGAAAAAGCTCGACGAATCAATTTCGTTCAACAAGTCGTTGGAAAAGAAGCTAAATGCTAGTGGTTCTTTATCCATGTTCGATAATCTTCAGTTTTCTCTACTCAATCCAACCCACTTTGCTCAATTCCTCCATTACACCCTAAGATCCATCAGAAATTTCGTGAAATTGATGATCCGCGAAATGGAATCAGCAAGCTGGGACCTCAACGCGGCTGTTCAATGCATCGTCGACCCTGACACCAAATTCCCGGAGCCAACTCATCGGAGCTTCGCTTTTGAATCGTTCGTCTGTAAAACAATGTTCGAGGGTTTTACAACTGACCCAAATTTCATATTCCAAAACGATTCGTTTCCCCTCGACAAGCAGCAAAACCGCCAAATGTTTGATAAATTCAAGAAGCTCAAACCAGTAAACCCTAAAATCTTCATTTCTCAAAGCCTTAACTCCTCATTCGCTAAATTCACCCGCTCCAAGTACCTCCAACTCGTCCACGCGAAAATGGAGTGCTCTCTGTTTGGAAATCTGAACCAGAGGAAAATCATGAACTCCGGCGGCGTCCCCGACACGACGTTCTTCGCCGCCTTCGCCGAGATGTCGAAGCGCGTTTGGCTTCTACGTTGTTTAGCATTTTCACTGCACAACGACGTTACGATCTTCCAAGTGAGGAAGAACAGCAGATTCTCAGAAGTTTACATGCAATGCGTTACCGAAGAGACATTGTTTTCTCCAGCGGATATGAACGATTCAGCCGTAGGAACCGGGTCGGAGCCTCGAGTTCGGTTCACCGTTGTTCCGGGTTTCAAAATTGGAGAGACGGTGGTACAGAGTCGAGTTTATTTATCGCCGCCGAGTCGCTAAATTCCTGGCACGTCGGAACTCCGAAATGAAGGAATTCCGTGTTCGGAAAAATCTCCGGCGTTAGATGCCAAGCTTCTATGACCGTTAGATCAGAATTGACGGAAGAGATTAATCGGCGTACTGTAAAAACTATTTTCAATTTTCCCAATTAATTGTATAAATATCTGTATTATAGTCACACTTATGCTATAATTTATATATGAGTTATTATTCAAATTAAAATAAAATTTTCATTAAAATTATCTAATATGATTTCTTTTTTAATAAGAAAAGTTAATAGAACCTTCCCTACCATACAATTTAAATAGAATAATTATATATAAATATATATATATAGGTAGTAGGAATAATTATATTATTGGGAAAACATGATTTAAAATGAAGCTTGGGCACAAAGATTTGTGGTGTAAAGGTGGAATGGACGATGGTTGGGAAATTGAATGATATTTTTATGTAATATATAATAAAAATAATTCAGATGTAACACTATCATGGCATCTTCCTTTTCTTCTTTTTCTTTTCAATTTAGTGTTCCCAAAAATCATGACCCATCTCCTCCATTCTTTTTAATTTATACTTTATCTTAATGCATTGGGTGTCCCACCATATACATACACAAATATATATATATACACTATTTGGTTTTTTTTTTAGTATAATAAATCGGTATGAATGTAATAGTAGAGATTGTCGGCTTTGGCTCGTAATATATCACCCTCCACCTCACGATTTTATTGAAGTTACATGTTAGACATCAAAACTAAGGTCCAGCTCACAAAGCAGCCTTCATTGCACCCACCCTTCAACATCATATGCAACCGCACACCCCCTTCAACACTTGGTTGTTGCGCCATTTTTGAAGTTAAATATAGATATCCACCGCCAAAACAAAGAGACATAAACAAGGAACATCTGGTAAGTGTTCGTGTCACATCAAGAGTCTACTTTAGATGCAAGATTAAGCAAGAACATCTAAACTTGTCATAGCATAATCTATGTTTATAGTGAACAAAACACATCAAATAGTGATCTTATCGATGTCAAATTGTCACGTTTTAATGAACTCGAAGGGCTAAGTACAGGAAAGTGCTACAGAAACAATCACATATGAGATGCATTTAATCAGCTGTGCAATTTTAATGCCAGATTCTTTGGAACAAAGGGAAAAAAAACAGTGTCCATCACTATCAATAAACAAATGAATAAGCATTGCCGCCCTGTTGGAAATTAATTTGTGGGGAAGTACAAGGAAGCTGCAGCAGAATCATGACAGAGGGGCAATGTTTGACCTTTGCCTTCGCATTCAAACTTGTGTTCACATCTACCATGTTTAACTCTTAAATCAAACACCTCATAAAGATAGATAAGCTCATTCCAGAATAATCCCCAAAAGGATTTGAATCCAGGTTCCCAGACACATTCTTATTAACAAAACGTAGTTCCAAGTCTAAACAAGATAGCCTTGATGTAGCAGATTTACAGATTTATGTTGAGCAAGAACAAAATGGTTCAAGTAACAATGAGAAAACAAATGCACTCAAGAATTTAACCCAGAAAAAAAATATGAAAGAAAAGGATATCGTTATGTTGTACATTTGCTAGAGTTTTCAAACAAGACGAGCTCAGGCTTCTGTTTCTAACGTTCTACTCGAACTCTGATCATTCCACCATCCAAAAACTCATGAATCAAAAGAATGGAAGTGTTTACAACACTCTGGACTGCCATCTTCAAACGCGCGTGGAAATACCAAGGACTGAGCCTCAAAGATTATTCACAAATCATACAGCCATCTTCTTGTCTGTTGTTTCTGAGACATCCCATGTCCGTGAGTCCATATAATCCCCATTCCATCCGAGTCTCCCCAATACCAAGAATGAACGCTCTTCCCCATTTCATATTTTGCATCCACTTGTATATATCAGAAACAAATCCCATACGATGATGGTTTAAATCAAACCATTTCATTTTGCTGCAAGTTAATCAACTTCCAGAAAGCAGAAAATGAATATGATACTAATCACCAGCCGGCAAGGTCAGTGTCATCACTGGAGAAGAGAATGGAGGCTCCTGTTAACTGCCATGGAGAAACTTCTCAAGGGGATTCTGGAGGAGAAGAAATGTCAGAAACTTCTGCAAGGGCTTCAAGCATGTTTATGACCTCAGTTGTATCATCCAAGTAATACTTGGCCTTGCTTGGTTTCTGTCCAACTGTGCATGCAAAAACTGATGTATTGGAAGAGAGGACGCCACTTGATACTGCATTGCCAATGATCTCAAACATGTCTTCATCAGATCTATCATCACCAATGCATAGCACAAAATCGGCCCGTCTGCCTGCATTGGCCATTGATGTGAAAATCTTTTCTGCCACCACACCTTTACTAACCCCCTAAAAATTACAACAGTTTTCATGAATTCTTAAAAGGGGAGAAGAAAGTAAATGATGAAATATATATATACACACACACATATATATGCACGCCTACTGCATTTGCATCCCCATTTCTAAGAACGTTCACACTATGAGAGGTGATACAATACCTCAGTTCAAATTGTTCCAAGTAACCACTTCAAAATCCTTCCCAATAAAAAAAAACCAATCGAAAAAAGTCCAAAACTGGACGATAAAGCATAACAAGACAGGACCAACTACCAGTTCTAAACCAAAACCAGAAAAACAACCACAACACAATAAGGCAATGCAATACGCAATTTCCAATTTGAATTAACATGAAATACTCAATTGATGTTATTTCAGAAGTTTAAAGTAGAAGAAGATACCTGTGGCTTCACTTCTACAATGAACTGACCACTTTTTACAGCAACTGGTTCATTTGCAAGCACACTTTCGAGATGATCTAACAGTTCCTTGGCCTGGCTGCAACCAAAATCAGGGTCGGCATCCTGGTGGTGCCACACCAAGGCACTTTCCTTGGTTTCAATGGAAGAGCCATCAGTAGCTTCTGTATATAATTTCATGACTGGCTCTGCGATCTGTATCCAGCCAAAATCACTACCTTGACCACAATTCTCCCAATCCTTATCAGCAGACCACCTGATAAAGTACAAGGATCAAACAACTGTGATATATATAGATATATAGATAGACAGACAGAATTTATTTCGGTAAGAAACTGCGCTTTCATCCAGAAAAATGAAGGAAAATACATAGCCAGACATATGGGAAGAACCGAGATTTAGTGGAGGATGTTGCAGACGGAAAGGAGAAAAAAGACCCACCTCATAAAATAGCCATGCTCTGCAGCAATCCCAAGTTTATCGCAAGAAGAAAACCAGTTGCCCAAACTTTCACGCCCTCTTCCACTGACAACAAAAACAGTATTCCTAACATCATCGCAAAGTGAATCTATGATTGAAATAACTTGATTACTTGGGGTCTTATCAATTGAAGTTTGTGGCATGACAGTGCCATCGTAATCCAATAGTATAGCCCTCCTTTTAGACCTTGAATATTCAGCAACAATGGCATCAATAGACAACTTTTTAAAGTTAGGATCAAGTGCTACAACTCTGAATCCAAAGCCCAACCCAATTCCCCAGCACCGTTTTCTGAAGTGATCCTTACAAGTTCTTTCCATATCTTGGAAGAAACTCTTTGACCAGTATGCCACATCATGAGTACTCACATACTTGTAATGCTTTTCATGGCGCAATTGCTTCTCAGCATCAGCCATTGATATTGCCTCATTCAATGCTTCGGCAGTAGCTTCAATGTTCCATGGATTAACCCGCATTGCACCACTGAGAGAAGGGGAACATCCCATGAACTCTGATATGACTAGCATGCTTTTTTGTGGTCCATTTGTTTCCGTGCTATAATCTGATCCAGAGGTTCCCTGCCTGCAGACAACATATTCATAAGGAGTTAGGTTCATTCCATCCCTCACCGCTGTAACTACAACACATTCGGCAATGGTATAATATGCAGCTCTCTCAGTGAGAGAAACAGGCCGATCAATGAACACAATTGGTTCATAATTTTGCTGTCCAAAACAGTCATTAATTCTCTTGCAGCATTCCCGTATTTCATCTTGTATTTCCTCAAGATCTTTCCCTCCTCCTCTAGCTGGGTTTGCAATCTGTACAAAAACAGCTCTACCCTGCCACTTTGGATGTTGCCTTAGCATTTGTTCCATTGCCAACAACTTCAGATTGACCCCTTTAAAAATGTCCATGTCATCAACTCCAAGTAAGACAACTTTTCCTTCAAATTGTCGCTTGAGCTCCTGTACCCTCCAATCTTTATCGGCCAGCCTTAACACTGACTCCATCTGGCCCATGTGAATTCCGACAGGCATGATCTTTATCCCCACGGTCCTTCCAAAATATTCCAACCCAATATAACCCCTCTTTGATTGATATTCCAAACCCAACATTCGACTACAACAAGACAGGAAATGTCGAGCATAGTCAAAAGTGTGAAAACCAATAAGGTCTGAATTCAAAAGAGCCTTAAGAATCTCTTCCCTCACTGGCAAAGTCCTATATATTTCTGATGAAGGAAATGGACTGTGAAGAAAAAAGCCCATTCTCAATCTTGTAAACCTTCTCCTCAAAAAGGTGGGCAGCACCATCAAATGGTAATCATGAATCCATAAAAAGTCATCATCTGGGTTTATGACCTCAATGACCCTTTGAGAAAATATTTTATTAGCTGCTACATATGCTTCCCACAGAGACCGATCGAACCGACCACCATGAGTTGCTGAGAACGGAAGCATATAATGGAAGAGTGGCCACAATTGCTGCTTGCAAAAACCATGATAAAATTTAGATAAAATTTCTTTAGGCAAAAACGCAGGAACACACTTAAACCTCTCCAACAAAAGCTGTGATACATCATCTTGTTCGGAAGAATCAACATCCACCTGCAAAGATCCTACATACAAAACCTCCATATCTTCCGGCAAACCATCCTTGAGCTGCCACAACAAAGAGTCTTCATCCCAACTAAAACTCCAGCCTTTATTATCCGGTCTACGCTTCGCTTTAATAGGAAGCTGATTGGCAACAATAATTATACGGTCTTGCACAACTGAGGAAGGTCCCTCAGAAGTCACACTGTTTGCCTGGTCATCATCAAGCTCTGATATTACCCCTGCAACAGTCATTACTCGTGGAAGTCGCTTCTTCTCACGACCCATGATGGGAAAATTCCCTGAAGCTAAATCTAAAAGATTTGTATACGATTTGGACATCATCTTAAATGGTCTACGATAAATTTCCAACTCAAAATAAGCTTCACAAAGAATCTCAAGAGAGTATTCACAGAGCACAGGACAGGTTTCCTCCTCCTTGAACGCCTATAACTAGGCAAGATCTGAAACGGGTATCACATAAAGAGAGTCACCACGAAGACCAAGTACTAAATTCACAGGAAATCGCATATCCAAAGCATCAAGAACTCATATGCATCAAGTAAAAGATACACAAAATTAGGATATGATCCACAAAAATCCTTCCGAAACACCAGGTAGTGCATACAAACAACCAGTACGATGAAACCAAACAGGAATACAACAAGAAATCAGAAATTAACTTCCAATTAGAGATAAAGATGCAGATATAATTAGCAGAAAGACAAAAAAATCGATACTAACCAGCGGCAAAAGGATGAAAGGGAGGAAAAATTATTGGGGGTGAAGTGTGTGGTTGGATCGGAAATTTGATGGAATAAATGAACAAATTTGCTACTTGGAACTGAAAAATCTAGGGTTTGGTTTTGGTCTCTCTCTCTTCAAGCCAAAGAGTCGCATTACAGACTCCTTTTCCTCCACCTTTTCTTCGCTCTAAACAATTCCTAAATTGCAATTTTTTTTCCCTTATCAGAAAAATAAAATATATTTATATAATAGAATTAAGAAAAAAAAATTGAAAATTGCAAAAAGCAAAGAAAAGAAAGAGGATAAGGTCGGCCAATGGACTACCCAGTAATGCCAACTGGCTATGACTAAGGTTTAGTCCACGCGCGCTCTCAGTTGCCGCTGATGGAGCAAACGCTTCGTGTCGGTTGATGGGAATAGCCACGTCGGACAAAGATAGAGTGAGGTGGGGGCCTGCAAAAGGAGGGGGAGTCCGCTGCGGCGAGGACAGAGGAAGTAGAGTAGTCTTGGTCGGTAGAATTGCGCTGGGGTTCGTCGGAGTTTGATAAGGCACGTGCTTGATAGGGGCACCGCGTGAGGAGGTGGCTCCTGAGTGGCAGCAGATGTGGACAGTAGGTCCGGTTGCCGCCACGTGGCCAGATACAATAGGACTGGGACTCTTATGGTGGGAGGGATGTCATTGATGACGTCATATGCCAAGCGAAGCAGTGGAAATCACGTGCAAAAATTAATTTTTTTAAAAAATGTATTTGTGGTTAGGGTTGGGTAATATTAACGTATTTCTTTTTTTTTTTTTTCCTATCATTTTTGCAATTATTTTAAAAACTTGAAAAACTCTTAACCATGGATTAAATTATAAATGGGTGAAACTAAAAAAAATATAATTAGAAAATTAAATTAAAAGAAAAAAAGAAATGTTTTTTACCGTTATGCAGTAATTTTGAAAGGGGAATGATGTAAATAAGAGAAAAAGGAAGGGCCCAAATTTGTTAGGTAAGGAGGTGTAAGGAGTTTTGGCGAAATAGTCAAAAAAAACACAAAAGGAAGTGGGGCCCTTAATGAGTCAGATTGTAGAGATGTTAATGTTTGTGTTTGTTTGACTTTTGTAATGTCCATAATAGCGCCCACGTACGTCAACTTGGAGGGGTTTTAAGGGAACTTTTCCTATCCAAACACCCTTTATTCTCCCTTCCATACCCATACAACATTGTGTTTGCTACCACTCAAACTAATCCCAAACATTATGGAATCCATTCTCGACCCATCTCATAAAAAGACACCCATCAAACTCGTTCCATATTTAGGTCAAGTAGATCTAGCTTTAGTCTATCTTAACAGGAATGCACTTCAAAACTCTAATTCACTTCGATAATACAACGAATAAGGATATACTTCTCAGAGGGGATAGTTGGAATTTGAGTGGTTTGACTTTGAAGAATATATTTGGAAAAAAGTCAAACTTGCTTTTTTATGTTTTTTTTTTTTTTTTTTTTTTTTTTTTTTTTTTATGTTTTATGAAAGCAATTGTCAATATTAGTGAATCTAATTTGGAAGCCAATGAGGTGTAAAGCCATTCCCAGCTGACCTAAGACAGTAATTGAGTTACATTCTATGTGCCACCTTTGTTCAAATGTTGACTTTCAAACCTTCTGAGGGATGGGTTTAAATGTGTTCCTCTTTGTTTGGCAGGAAATCTTGGTTAAAGTGCTTTGGCTGATCCTCTCCATCATGAACCTATTGAATTGGATAGACCTTAGCGCTACAATCAATACACATTATAAAATCAGATTTAATACGATCGGTTCAAATTTAAGGATAGATCTTATCTGGTTAGCCAATAGTAACCATACATATACATATATCCTAATTTATAATTATTGCATTATAAATTTTGACAAATACTCTAATTCACTTGGGCTTCATTATGACTTTATCTATAAGATATTAAAGTCGCACATCAAATCATAATCAATTGTAAATAAAATGTCGATCCAAATTTAAATGAAAAAGAAAAAAAATAAAGAGAGAGAGAAAAAGAAAAAGTATGTTAATTTGTGAACGTGGAAACCCATTTCAATGAAAGAACGTTGTGGGCAAAAAGTAAAGAGAGTATAGATTCAATGAACCTAAGAAACACACATGATGAGGTTGAGTCCCAAACAAAATTATTATTTCATTCCGTCTTCTTCTTCTCCCGTTCGTGATATTTGGAAAGAAAGTAATTTTGAAAATAAAAGAACTAAGAAAAAGTTAAAAGTAGATTTAAATATGTTTTGTTGGAAGTAATTTTATGTTGTAAAACCAGATCCATGTGAAGGAAGACAAATGACAATAGGAATGATGTTGGTCGGTAGATATGGGCCATTTTTAAGTGGGTCGGCCCACAATTTTGAAGGGCAGGGGAAGGTGAAAGCCCAATTCTTTAGGAGCTCCATCCTTTAGTATTTTAAAACATTCAACCCTTGGATGTAAAGGTGTTTGAATCAGTCAAGATCAACTCATAAATACCTTACAAAAGAAAGCATTTCCATGAGTGTAGTGAATAATGCATGGATTTGGTACTTTGGATTAAGAAAAGGTTACATGGGGTGGAGTTTTTAGCCATAATAAGCAAAAGTATAATCAAATTCTTTAAAAAACAGAGAAAATGTTCGACAGTCACATGGCGACATGTACTCCAAATCCCATGATGTGATTTTTCACCTTTCAATTTCCGAAAGCAACCACACCGACAGCGACACCTTAATCTACGTTACAGCATTACCCTCGTCATGGGCTGCGCGTTTGGTAGTTTTCGCATGAGCTTACAAGGGGACTCATTATTTTTATGCTATGCATTAACATTGGTAGGTCCATATATGACAGCGATTTGTATAAACACATCGTTTTTATTTTCAAGTTTGAATTCACCGAATTAAGCAGCTCTTGAGAATGAATAAAAACAGAGATGAAGAGGGGCTTGAAGGCAAGAATATAATTATGAATCTCTTTATATACAAGATACTCAATATATATGTATGTATTAAAGAATGAAATCCAATACCCAGAAACAAAAAAAAAAAGGAATAGATATCCTAATGGCCGATGCCGGGGCTTGGAACGGACTCTACGAGGTGTCGAGCAGTGAGCTTCTGGTCGAGGAGCAGGGCATGGGCTTTTTTGCTGGGAGCGGAAGAGGGGACGGTGCCCTTGGGAAGGGCGGCGAGAAAGAGGCTGTGTGGAGACGGCGTTGTAGGGAGGAGTCTGGCGGCGTGTGATGTGAGGGCAGAGGATGCGAATAGAAGGAGCAAAAGGAGAGGGCAAGTGATGAGTGTGAAGCGGGCCGCCATGGAAGAAAAAAATGAGTGATTCAGAGAGGTGGGTTCGAAGTTTGGTTGAAACATGGAGGGGTATTTATAGAGTTTGGGGTTGATTGGGTTGTGGGGAAAGGGGGTTTATAATGGAGTTATGTAATACCCGAGCCTCAATTGAAAGTTTAAAATCTAAGTTTACCTTAAAAGTCGATCTCTCTCAATTTTAGTGAAGGTCTTAAAGACCAAAATCCGAGATGAGACGGAAGAGAAAAATGATGAGGAATAAAAGAACTTAAGAAAAATATAAAAGAAAAATGATAGAAAATTAAAAGGATGGTGAAGGTTAATCCCTGGAGGGTAATTTGGTCATTATACCCTCTTTTTTTTAGTAACATACAAATAAAAGAGAAAAAGAAAAAATAAAGGGGAAAAAGGAAGAGAAGGAGAAAGGACAGAAAGAAAAGAATGTAAATAGTGAGAGAAAGAAAATTATAGAGAGAGAAGGAAAGTTCTAGAGAGAGAGGGAGGTAACCGCCGCTCCGGCCACGAGGAGTCCGGTTCCGGCCGAGCCTTCATGAAAACTTCACAGAACCTAGAGAAGAACATTCTTAACCTTTAGATCGTCCAAAACCATCCGGAAACGAGGAAAAATCTAAAGGTAAAGTTCTTGAATCCAGATTCTCGAAATTGCTTTAGATCTGTGAGATCTAGTAAGAGTTAGAGCCTGAAATTTGAGTATGTTAATCTACAGAGGATTACGCTCAAAACCTGTGAAGGAGGTTGTAATCGATTCAGATCGGAAATGGGAGTTCGACGTTCGTCAAAGAGGAGAAAGGAGGAGGAGGATGCGCTTCGCCGGAGAAGAAGGGCCACGTGTCGAGCGTCCATTGGAGACGAAAAAATCAAAGAAATACTTCGCGTCGGGCGGGATTCGATGGCCGGCGGCCCGCTACTCGAGTTTGCGACCCGATGACCCGCGCGCAACCCGGACCACCGACCCGGTTTCGCGTTGCCACGCGTCAGCGTAAACAAACTTGAATGTCCAGCGCGCCCTTCCGGTTTCGAACCAACGACCTCGACCTCGGCTGACCGTTTATCGGGCGCCACGTGGCAACACCTCAGCGCGCGTCTCCCCTCCCTCATGCGCGTCCGTACGCGCGCGTGGCCGTGCGCGTGTAGCACCTTCCCCAGGCGCGTGAGAGCGCGTGAGGTGCTGTTTTCAGCCCGTTCGATTTCTGTTTGCCCGATTTCCCTCCGACTCCAACTCTAACCCTATTTTTATATGGAATAGGGTTTAAATGGGAAAATTCAACATTTGTGGACACTCTATTGGTGTAGAAATGCTCAACGAAGAACACGCGTCAATCGGGTAAGTCACCACCCGGTATTTAGGAAGAAATACTTGTAGGGTTCGCTTGGATTGTATGTATGCATGTTAGTAATTTTTGCCTTAAATTAGCTCTCCATGAATGAGATTAATTAGATGGATTGTTATGATGTGTTGGGTGAATTATCTGAGTGTTGCTTGTATGCCTTAAGCTTCCGTTGTACGTATGCATGCGTTTAATTTATGTTAGAATTGTGTATGCCGGGTCTTGGGTGCTTGATGGACGAATTCGCCCCATTGAACGCGAACCTCGTGCTCTGGGTGCTTGATGGAGGTCATCGCCCCGTTGAGCCGGTATGCCTAGTTTGCATGAATTACATACTATGATGTTAGAAGAAGATTGCATGCACCCTCTGTTAATTGCTAGGGCCTATTTCTGTGATAAGATTAGGGAATTTCTTTTAGGAGCGATATGCCGCTCTAGACAGACTTAATTTTCCCCAAGAAACTTAGCGGTTCACCACGGTAAGAAAGTACCTAAGGGGGTTCATAGATTGCTAGCGTGAGAACGGTATCTATAGCTTCGTGGGAGGACCAAGGGTCCCTGATCAGTCCTTACTGTTCTTAGCCATTTCGCATGGGAAATGTGTCCCCACGTCGTACAGCCCATTAGCTGCATGGGAACGGGTTGGGTCGCGCCCACCATAGGAGAACTATATGGGCGTAGGGGTATTCAGCACACCCCTAGGCTAGGTACCATGTAGTTCTAGATAGCCATGTGGAGGTAGCGCCTCATAGAGAGATACCGACCATATTAGCTGGGCATAAGGAACCTCTAGGTGACTAATGAAAGGACGATGAACCGGTGAAACCCAAGGGGCAAGCCCCGATAGACTAAGGTTAGAACCCAATGTCCTAGAACCGAATTAGGGAACCGTGGGAGTTCTGTTAAATTAAGATGCGAAGAGAGCCTACAAGTAGGTGGCTTACTGAGTATAATTTTTATACTCATCCCGTTCTCATTTATTTTTCTCAGGTGTTCACTGGCTGCTGGTCGAGGTAGAGGAGCGTTTGAGAGTTGTACAGTCACAGAGGGGGTCGTTCCGGAGCGTCAGTCCCTTTTCGGTCTTTTAGAGTCTTTTGTATTTCATTTTATATTTGCAATTTCTTTTGTAATAATTAACAAACGAAATTTCTCTCTTTTGTTTTAATTCAAAGTATTTTTATATTTTTACTTTGGTTTTTCTTTTCTTCTACTTTCTTTTTGTTTGTTTTCGATTTCGCCTTTTGGTTCACGGTCTGATTTTCGAAGCCTCGAAAATCGAGTCGTGACAGATTGGTATCAGAGCAGTCGGTTTTAGATTCTGTAGACTTTTTCTAGGATAGAGAGTCGTACACCTCTGTGACTCAGCTCGACGACACGCCTTGCCACGACCAGGTATGCAGTCTAACCCTGTTTAATAGGTTACGGTATGATGTAAAGCATGTGAATTTGTTGTTTGTTTTGGGTTATGTGGTAGTTATGATTATGCCTTAGGGCGATAAATAATGAATGATCACTCTATACGTCAATGCTAGATGCGAGTTATTGTGAGGAGGCCGAGAGGGGTCATGTTAAAGCTTACTAGCCTTAGGGAGATAGAGAGATGACGCCGCAGAATGCGAGACGTCCAAAGATGAACATGAGACTTTCTAAGGCCTAGTACGAGGTGAATTACCTAGGACCCAGCCTCCTGTGACCATAATTCTAGATGGCAAGCATGCCTATGTGGAGAGCATGTAGAAGGCTTAGACAGTATAGAGCATGCCTTGGTATAAACCACAAAGGTAGACCCAAGCAATATTGTTCGTACAACCAAAGACGATCACTATAGGAATTAAATACCCCTCAAGCAAACCGTTACCTCAACTGAGTTTTGGTTAAGTTGGGAAGTCGAGAGATAAAATTCACCAACAATGAGAGTGAAGCGATGGAAGTCATGACTTCAAGGTTCGATTGGAGTCTTCACGAGCTAAATTCAAGTTTATGGACTTCCAAAAGTGTGATGTGCCCTTTTATGCCACTAATAGGATATGGGGTGTAGGATATTCCTATTGATGGATCACCTAATGGATGACAAGTCGTTTTGGACCTTGGAGTAGATGACCGAGTCCAATAGCAGCACGTGGTTATCAGGATCATATGAACGTGTTCTAACCTATTCTTGGTCAGAACATGCTTGCTTACAAACGTGAAAACTGTTAAGGTAATCCAGTGAACCTTAGGATTAAGAAGGGCAGGAAAAGCGGGCAAGCTATGGCCATGCCTTCGTGTCTGGAGGGAGAAAGTTCATATGCATGTTAGTAAGAACCAACCCTTGTTTAGGTTATCTGGATTACAAAGAGTAGAACTCTATTTTTTTTACACATAAGTGTAACACCATACTTGTGAAGCATGCTCAGACAGAAGTAGAGACGCTAGATAACGTGAGTTTGGAAACTACCTGAAGAGTAGTGAGATGGTGATAGTACACTAGTAAGGGAAGCAGAAGACATAATGCGTCTTAGGGAAAACCTTGGACATAGATAAAAGTACCCTCAGAGCTTGAGGAAGACTAGTTACCAAACAAGAGTTTTTAGAGAGTTCCATAGGCTCCTTTACAAGAACTTGATGGATGCACACACATGAGCCAATATAAGATATCACTACGAAAGGAAATGTGACTTGATCAACCATAAGACACTACAGGAGTTGACCTAAGTGAATGTAGAGGACTTACACAAGGAATCTTTACTTTCGAAAGAGACTTATACAAGGAACCTTTACTTTCGAAAGAGCCTGCATTTAGCTCAGATGAGTATTAGTATTCAGGCGAGCTACATGACAAGTTATCTTGTTGTGAGGAA